TAGTATTTTCTTTCTTTGGAACGGATGTCAAAGTCAACAACAAAGATACAACTAGCTTAAACAAATTGCTTCATACAAGTAAATTCTATCATAAAGTAACGGAGAGAGTAATAAGTGGACTATCTGAGAAGTATAGGTTTAGATTAACATGTTAAAAGGTCAAGAAGTTTAGGAGTCTGGGCAACCACATAATATAAACCACAGCACTTCACTATTAAATTCTGCAGTTAGATTAATTCACTGTGTATTAAGTCATAGAATCCTATAACAAAAAATAGCTAAGAATTGGTTTTAGCACATTGGATTTTAAAAATTTCCTTCTTGTTTCTTATTGAGAAATATATTAATGGAAAAATTCATTCTAGGATGGAGAATGTATAGGAACTAACCTGTAAGTAGAAGAATATGACACCTAAACTATCCCACTGTGACACCCGAAGGAACTTCTTCCATGGGAGTATATACATAAGGAAATAGGAATCTTCTTACACAGAATGGATGTTTTACATGTGTAAATATGACCTCAGACACAATTACTAAATTTGGAAATATATATCTCTCATGCAAATACTAGTTTCTGTACAGTCAGTAAGTGTATATGGAAATTTTGTTGGCACTGTGTGAGCGGACATTTTAAAACATCACTGGCTTCATACAGGTCTGATGTTGATGAAATCAGATTCAGCTATATCTTAGATAAACAAACATCTGTTGCATGACACAGTATTTTCTTTCCTGACTCTTCAGTTTTCAATGGCACAATTCATAAAGATGTTAATTTAAAAATACAGGTAAAAAAGAGTTGATTGTTTTTTTCTGGTAACTGGAAACTTACATGAAATTTTAAAATTCAAAATAATTTCCATTGTTATTATTTTATGAGCTCCATTACATAAATATTCATTGAGAAGACCATTATATAGCTACCTAATACCTATATTACAGCAACATCTAGAAATAGTCTTTAAATTTTACTCTTTAATTGTTCTGTTAAGTGAGGACATCAATTTTACTATCAATGCAGATTATGAGCCTGCTGAGTAATATATGCATTATGGATTTTTGTGGATTTTTATAGGTTATACATATGGCTATGCCTGACAGAAATATCTCTTATTTAAATACAACATATAGGTATGTGGCTTATATTAAGTCATTGGAACTGATAACCACAAACAGAGAAATTATTTTATTGAAATGAGGGAGAATTATGTATAACTCAACAGTGTGATTAACTGTTTGTTTAAAAATTTCAAAGTAAACAGAACAAAAAATTACCCAAGGTTGAAATGAAAGACAGTCCTCCATGCAATGGCTGAGATTATCCTGCACAGGTTACATCATGGGTCTCAGAGGAAGTTCTGTAGGTATTAAGAGTGTAATCACGTTTTCCTGTTTGTTCATTCTTATTAGGCTTTTTTCCTTTCCCTAGTTCATGTAGAGCACCTATATAAACACCCAAACGACACCTAAACAGCTGAAAAAATGCAAAGATGTTTGTCAACATGTAAATTTTTGTCCATCAACAGCTGCAGAATCCCATGGTCCTTCATTACTGAGAACCCTTATGGAAGTCAGCAGTAATTACCTAAGGGAGAATCATTACATGCGCAATATTTTCAAATTCAGAACTAAAAAAAAAAAAAAGTGGTTAATTCTTTGTAACTCATTTTTTCATTTCTTCTTCTGGAAAAAACTCAATAACTAACAAATCAGCTTCCAAAAATGAAGATACTTTTAGTGTTGCTTAAAAAGTAACATAATTTTCAGTGTTTCTATACACGGAATCAATATTTACAGGCTCAGCGGAGAATCCAAAGGTGCTTTTTGTGAAGGTGTAAACTACAAATATAGGTAAGTATAAATAGTCAGGTTTCTCTCACATTTAAATATAGGCAATCATATGGAATTTGAATACAAGGATCACAGTTTTTAAGTAAGACATACAGACCAATCACCTAGCACTTGTTTCCATGCTACTGAAGTTAAAGGGGTGCTGGCCTGACAGGGTCTCATGGTTCAACCAAGCCCTACAGAGCCTCTTTCTCACTTCTCCAGCAAGGAGATTATGGAGAGAACCAAAAGAGTAAAAGCTGGAAAACTAGTGGGTTGAGATACAGATGGTTTAATAAGGAGAGCAAAAGCCATCAACATAAGCAAAGCAAAACGAGGAATTCATTCACTGCTTCCCACGGGCAGGCAGTTCAGCTATCTCCAGGAGAGCAGGGCCCCATCACATGTAATGGTGACTTGGGAAGACAAGCACCATCACTTCAAATGTCCCCCCCCCTTTCCTCCTTCTTTCCCCCACTCTATGTACTGAGCATAATGTCATATGGTCTGGAATATCCCTTTGGTCAGTTGGGATCACCTGTCTGGAATGTGTCTCCTCCCAGGCTCCCACGCACTCCCAACTTCTTGCCAGCATGGCAGTACGAGAAGCAGAAAAGGCCTTGTCTCTGTGTAAGTGCTCCTCGGCACTTACAAAACATCTCTATATGCTCAGCACAAATGCAAAACATAGCCTCATATCAGCCACTGTGAAGAAAATTAAGTCTACCCCAGCTGATACCAGCACACAGCAACATAAACTTCAGCTCTCATAAAAAAGGAAAAATGCTAGTGCTGCTTAATTAATGACTATGTACTAAAAAAGGCAGTAAATACGTCAGATAAGACACTGATAAGAACAAAGTCATCTGTGAAAAATCGCGTAAGAGAAAATCACAAGCAGTTTTTCAAAGCAAATGAAATAAATATTCTTATGTGTGTTCCCACTTGCCTCCTGTGTGCTAAGATAGCATGTCACCACCCCTGTGATTGAAACTTACCTCTTTATTGTTTTGGGGTTTTTTTAAGCTACAACACACTAAAAGTTTATGGGTGGCAACCTGCAGTACCTTCCTCTGGAATGCCAGATCTATGAACTGCAGTTCCACTTTCCTGACCAGTTTCATCGGCTCTCTAGACTAGATTTTGAATTTTTAGGTTTGTCTGTAAACTAAGACATAACATTGACAACTCCAAGTTAGCACCAATCCAGGGCTGTGCAAGACCATATATTTTTGCAACTGCTTAAAAGACAAAAATAAAGGTACTGATCCATCAGCATTTTCTTAGTGAATTTCAAATTTATAAACATACTGATTCTCAAGGCAGGATCTATTAGTATAGTCTTTTATTTGTGCTTAACTCATCTCCAGCTTAAATATTTATTTGACAGGATACAAACTATGCAGGAGCAAAATGAATAGGGACAAAAGGTTATGGAAGAGTTTGGAGTTTGAGAGTGATGATTTCTCGTGTGACAAAAATGTTCTTGAAAACCAAAAATAATAACAACAGTCATTGACCAAAAATACCATTTGAAAACGGTTTAACTTTTAAAGTGAAGGCTAATATACTAAAAGTAACTTATTGCTGCTAATCTATTCAGAGATGCAATGTAAACAAAATATACAATACAAACAAAAGTTTCTAATTCTAATAAGCATGGGAGAACTGACAGCGCTGACACAAAACTAAATATGCAGACAGTGATGATGATTGTTCTATTACCTTATAATAATCTGTCTGGGAACACAGCCAGATTTATTCAATAAAAAGAAAATATAAACATGATGGAAGTAAATAATTTTAGTCACAGGAAATAAAAATATCAGTATTCAAGTTCTTGCCCAGATTCTGCCCACCTTTCCACCTCTTCAGCAATACACATGGCATGACAGCTATGCAGGCAGGAAGAAACATCTCTCATTGTAACTGTTTATTATATAGCTGTGGGAGTATAAGGGGAAGAACCGGAATAATTGGAGCATTCCAGGTTCTCCATTACAGGAAGGCTGCTTTCCTATCACTCCACCCTACAAAAGAAAGATTGAAAATTCCTCTGTTGCTATTTATTTCTGAGATAGGACAACACTTTGGAAAAGCGGAAATAAACTGTGCTCAGGTAGAGGAGAAATCCAGGTTTTTTAATAACTGAAATACTGGGTCACACTTTATGTGGCTTTTATCCTAATAAGCATTGATGTTTAAAGGCTTTCAAATGTTTTAAAAAACCTAATTAATCCTCTGACACATCTGTGAAATAGCTTCTTACTCCACTGATGGAGAAAGCGTAACCTTGTTCAAATGACTTGCCTCAGGCCATGCACATCAGCGACAAAGCCAGCCTGAAAACTTGAGTTCCTAATAATGTATTTATCTGCCTGGAATGTCTCACCACTGTCAGTGTTCTTATGGTACGTAGTATTATATTAGCCTCAAACTAGGGAACACGCAAATAGACTTTTCAGAGAATCTAGGCTGACACCATTCACACAGAAGGGATGAAGAACTAACTATCATTTATATCAGGGATTTCAGAAAAAGACACATTTGCAAATGTTATAGGTAAATAAACCAAATCAAAATATAGCAGCAATTTTTATTATAAGATTTCTATAAAGTGCAAATAAGCAAATCAGCGCGCTGGGTGGCCGGAGGAGACCCTAGCTCCATCAATGGCCCGCAAGTGCAATAGAGACAAACAGTAACTTTTATACTTTTTTCAACTCCCCTCCCATAGTCACTTGTTAGCTCTTCATTGGGCTTGAGTTCGCGGGCTTCGTTCTGGTTGGTTCTGTTGTAGGCCTATTCCAATTGCCAGGTACTTTCCATTAGCTCAAATGTCCTTGGAGTTGGGTATGGGAATGGTCCCCAGATGTTCTCTTTGGCTCTTCTTTATCATCTTTGTCCTTGACTCCCTGATCCTTGTTCTCTTCTTCTTTTTCTAATGAGTACATTTAGACAATATTTTTAGAAAAACAGGATATAGTATATGTGCTCAGTAAAGCAGAATACTTTATCTTGCCAGCTAGGGAACTGCCAGCTGCAGGACAGTCAACTTATAATAGTAACACGGCAGTTACCTATTCCGCAGCTCACAATTCCCCAGTCCCAACAAAGCATTAGCTATAATATTCGGAAAGCACAATATATATACTTTGATGAGTAAATTATTTTACCATTTCTTATTTATTACACAAATGTCCAAGAAGCATCAAGAAAAACATCGTTATGCTTGCTCCTTTGTCCAAATACACTTATGTAAATAAGTCCCACAAAGGCTGTAGTTTTGGATAGTCCTGAGAGGAGCAGGCAGTTGGACTAGATCCTTATCGATCCCTTCCAACCCTAGATATTCTATGATTCTAAAAAGGGAGTCAACTTTCAAGACTTAAGAGGTGACGCAGGGTGATGTTTACAACCTGCAGCGCCAAGCGACTCAGGATGGCAACTTTGCCTGAAAAGTGAACAGAAATGGTGTGTCAGGGGCAGAAAGGCAACAGCTTGGCTGATCTTACTAAGAGCTCTCTTTCTGTGGAATCCTTGCGAAATTTAAAATTGTTCTCCCCAAAATAAACCTCCTGAAGAAGTGCTGAAGCCAAATCACCCCCTCCTGTGTGAAATTCTTAGCACAGCTGTATTTCTAGTCTGCACGTCCTAATCCACACACTGCTGCCCTGAAAGGCACTTAGAAAAGCTTGCCTCATAAAGGGAATCTTATAAATATTTACACTGCACTTCTATATTTAGGCATATTGCTACTACAACAGTGACAAGGCTGTGTTAAAATTATTTTGTTTAGAAATCTGTAAGGGAAAGCAAAAAGCAGTAAAGAGGAACCCATAGAGAGAGCAGGCTACAACATTCTTTGAAATTACAATTTCTTTAAACAGAAAAGCAGCAGCAAATGGATGTGTTTTGATTCCATAAACTTGGGGCTAGAGCCAACTTCTCCTTTCACTGGCCCTGGGCACAACCCCAGCATAATTCCACAGATCTCAGTAGTGTAACTGGAAGCGGAGCTTGCCTTTAGAAGGCAAGATACAAAAAAATTTCAGCAGATAAAAAGAGGTTGGCTGGAGAGCTGTGAAAGTGGGAGCAGTAGTTTGTTTTAGTGGCCTCAGGAAAAATTCACTTAATGCTTTTGGGTAATGCAAAGCTTTGAAAACCTGAATGTTTAGATGCCTTCTGAGAACTCTAGAGACATGCAAGTGTCAACATGCTGCTATTTGTCAGTTCTTTTAACACTGGGAAAAAAATAAAATCAAAATATATATACATATTGTATTACCTGGTAATGGCAATCACATGATGTCTTCTTGACCCAAGAGGTACTTAGATACGAAATGAAGCTGATATATAAACCCACTTAAGGGAGAAAAATTACTGATGATGAAGATACATCTGAGGGAAGGGAGTGTGTAGTGAGAGCTTGCAGGCTTCAGTAACATGAAAAAAATTACAATTTCAGGAAAGTGCAGAGTAAGTACCATTTAATAGCAATGGAGTCACAGCTCTTACAAGGTAAACAGCTTGTGGACTTCAGGACAGATATTTTTTTTTTTCACTCTTACTGTTAGAATAGTATAATAGAATCAATTAAGGTGGAAAGTACCACCAAGACCATGGGAGTCCAACCATTAACCTAACACCGACAGGTCCGGTATTAAAAGACGTCCCCAGGCACCACATTGACACGGTTTTTGAACACTTCTAAGGATGGTGACACCATCATTACCCTGGGCAGCCTGTTCCAGTGCTTGACCATGCTTTCAATGATGAAATTTTTCCTAATAGCCTGCCTGATCCTCCCCTGGTGCAAGCAGAGGCCGTTCCCTCTTGTCTTATCGACACCTGAACGGAGGCTGTGGTGAGGTGGGGGCCGGTCTCTCCTGCCGTGAGGGGACCAGAGGAAATGGCCTCAAACTGAAACAAGGTAGATTAAGATTATTAAGATTAAATATTAATTTTTTTCTGTTAGTGAGGTCAGGCATTGGAATAGGTTGCCCAGGTGGAGTCACTGGAGTCCTGGAGGTGTTCAGGAGTCTGGATCTGGCGCTGGGTGATGTGGTTCAGTGGTTTAGGGGTTGCACTAGCAGTGCTGGGCTGACGCTAGGCGTGATGATCTCAAAGGTCTCTTCCAGCCTTGATTATTCTGCGATCCTTTTTAAGACCCCGAGCAGCTTGGCCCCCACACGTAAGCAGCTGCTGCGCTGGTGAATCTCTCCACAGACCCGTGCGTTCCCGCCCCTCAGCGGCGAGTGGCTCCCTTTGTTACCGGACGGCCCCGCGGCTCCCTCCGCTCCAGCTCCCGATCCCTCACGGCCCCGCCGGGACCGCAGCCCCCGCGCAAGCGCGGAGGGGCCGCGCAGGCGCGCAGCTCCGGGGCGCGCGGGCGGCGCTTCCCCGGGGCGGGCGCGGGCCGAGGCACCGCGCGGGGCGCTCGGAGCGGCCCAGCCCCCGCCCAGCCGGGCATTGTTCCCGGCCCGACTCCGCCGGGAAGTTTCGGCCGCGTCCCGGCTCCGCTCCCCGCCGGGGCGGGGCGCGGGGCGGGGGCGGGGGGCCGGGGCCCCTTTGTCGCCTCCTCCCCGGCGTGCGGCGGCCGGCGCGGGGGGCGAGGCTCACCATGATGGCGGCCGAGGCCGCGGGGGAGGAAGGCGGCTCTGGCGCTTCGGCCGGGACGGCGGTGGCCGGGGCGCCCGGGGAGCCGGGGCAGTGCCTCGCTGCGTGCCGGGGCAAGGCGCCGGGGCCGCAGGGCCCGTTCCCGGCTGGCGGCGGCCCCCCGGGCGGGCCGGCTTTGTGCTCCGTGCTGGGGCTGCTGGAGCTGGGCGCGGGGCCTGCCCCTACGGCCGCCGATCCCGGCACCGCCGGCTTCCCTCCACTGCCGCCGCCGCCGCCCCCCTTGGCCGGGGGGCTGGGGACAGTGGACGAAGGGGACTCGCTGGACGGGCCGGAGTACGAGGAGGAGGAGGTGGCCATCCCACTCAACGCGCCCCCCACCAATCAGTGAGTACCCGCCGGGCCTGGGGAGCGGGGGCCGCGCCGGGGAAAGTGTGTCAGACGGCTGGAAGTCCCACAGAAGTTCTGCGTCCCACCCCCCTCGCCTTCCCTCCCTCCCTCTCTCGGTTCCGCTTCAGCAGGAAGGCTGGTGCACCGGGACGCTGCCCGGGGAGCCCCAGCCCGGGCGAGGGGACACCCGCTGTCCGCAACCCGGGGGGTGAACGGCGGCAGGAGAGGTCGGATTCCTTCCCCTTCACCGAGAGTTGATGTTCCAGTGGTGATTGGGATCAGCTCCTAGGAAAAAGGGCGCTCGAGTTAGTTTTTTGCAAGTTTTCATTGCGATAATGCAGGCTGCCAGGAAGAGTGAGTTATTCCGGTTGTGGATTAAGCTACCTATCGGGGAAACTTTTCCAATCTCTGGTAGCGCCTTCTCCCTAGAGCCATAAACTTCATTTTTTTTAATAAAAGGAAGAAAAGCTAAACATGGCATAGAATACTTAATATATCATGTAATCATGTTGTATTGCATTGCCTTCTACTCAAAAAAGTAACGCTTTTCTTTTCCATTTCATATACGCACACAGCCAAAGTAATGTGCACGTTTGGTCTTTTTAACAGTTCAGGCAGTCTGGGACAGTGGATTTAAAATGGATTAAATCCAGTTCCGTGTTTTAAAGTGTTGACAGGGGATATTTTTATAAAAGGTGTCTAACTGTCTTGCTGCTCAACTAATTTAAAATAAAGTTGTTTGCAAGTAGGTGATGTTTGGCGAGAGGAGACAATTGGAATAAATTGTAAACCTATAGTTAGGTTTTCTTGTATTTATCCATACATTAGGTTAATCAGGATTCCTGCAGTTCTGGTAATAGAAGGGATCTTGCAGTAGAGGCAGACTATTTCTTTGTTTATATTGTGTGAAATATAAGATCAGATAATGTTATGTAGAGACCATGTAATTAGTAAGTACTCTAAAAGCAGTCTTTGGGTTTCACTATAGAAAATCTGCACGTTTACACAAAGTACTTGTAGGGCTTGTATCAGAACAAAAAATAACTGTTTTCTCCGATATTCTTACCATATTCTCCCCAGAATAAAATTGCTTCAAAGGCTTACGTTCTTTCATCAGTGTCTAAATATGTTGTTCCTGAAGCTATGGCAAGTATACTGGATAATGTAGGGAGTTAAGATACAGTTATCTTTATATATATATATATATATATGTCAAAAAGTTAATTTAAAATCCATCTGAATTTTGGGGTCTTTCTTAAGTTCTCTCATAACTCCACTGTCAGACATATCTTCTGCATTGTCACATACTTTCACAATTTCAGGAGCTAGTGTCTTTGTATGTAGAACATAAACTGTAACACTGTAATATTTTTTTTTTTAATTAATCTCTCTAACCTTGATAGGCTTTCTGGCAGTCCATTATTCTTTTAATTCCTGGACTTGTGGAAGTTTGTAAATATTAAGGCCTTGCTTTGTGAAGACAGTCTTTGAATAGTCTTAAACTTGTAGAATTCCTTAGTGAGCTAGAAATAGGACTAGGCAGATTTGACAGAAATGTGGGAAATAGAAGCATGTAAAAAGCAAATGCTTTTCAGTCTTGTGTACCAAGCTGGTGAAGTACAGGATTCTGCTTTTCTGGTTTTCTCTCTGAAAGTTCAGACTGCTTTTGTCAGACCTGGCTAAGTTCCTCAGCGAACTGAGGAAAAAGCCAAAAAGCAAGGAAAGCAGGGTAATTATTTATGAGCAATCACTTGTTTGATGCTAAATAATTGTTACCACACTGACAATTTTGAATGGGTTTTGCAGTTAGAATATTGTCTTATAAGTCATATGCAAGCATGATGGTTTAACTTTCACAAAAGAGGATGTCAGGTTTCTGACAAGAAGGACAGGCTAGGGGAACACTGCAGCCCCGATTTTGTCTTGGCTCAGAAGGCTACTTACCTTATTTAAAGGGGCATCGATGTTTATAGAGCACCAGTACTTAGCTCTGTAGCTCTAAATGTTTTTCTCTTGAACATTCTGAAGTACAGAAACAGACAAGAAGTAAAATACACTTAAAAATTGTTTCAGAAGTTTGTGCCTCCAAATATTTAGCCTTCTCCTTTTTAGTTTTTATCCTTGATGTGTGACTTTTCCATAAAAAAATTAAATTGACTGATTATTTAGAAGCTTTTTTCCCTTTCATTCATCTCTTATTTATTCTATGCAGTGTCAGTTTTTACCGTTCTCAGTTAAGTCATACAACTGGCATATGTCAATAGTAAATTCTGTCCTTTCAGTCCTGCTTTTTTATTTTGGAAGTGCCATTTCTTTGTAGTTATACCATCTGCTTCTGTGGAGTTGAACTCTTGATTTATTACCAAAGCCACAGATCAATATTATCCATCATTGCATACAAGGAAATCTCCAATGTAAGTCTTTAAGAATGGAAATTGATCTTGAAATTTAAACTTGTGTTCAATTTCTCCAGTTGGATGTGATTGCAAACTGCTGTTCCATTTGTTTAAATATGACTGCCAGCTCCACCCTTTCCCACTTCCTCCTAATTCATTCAGTTTTTATAGGAGAAATGCAGGGTGGCTTGTGGATAATTCCATGATTCTGTCACGTGGTTTTGTCTTAGTTGCTTATAATGTGTTATGGGTACATCAGAAAATTAAGAATGCTCTTCACTCCTGGCCTTGCTCTGTGTGATACAAAATTACTGTTCTCTGTAGGAATGAAAAGGTGTTAATTCTTTTATAATTGTGACGACTCACTAGGCTTCTTTTCCTTCCCATAGACGTGCATCATGTTTCAGGATTTGCTGAATGATTGGTTACTGACTGCAGGGAGAACTATCTGGTAAATGTTGCTGCTGGTTTTTTCAGGTTCATACTACAATTTTAGATTAGACTTTTAAGTTTAAATAAAAATAATTAAAGCATTCTTCACAAACTTAGACACAGCTTTATCACTTCTTCTTCTCCTAGCTTGTTTTACAATTTAAAAAAAAAAACCAAAGCAAACAAAAATGCCTAAACACAAAACAAAATATGAGTTCCCAGTCTCCAAGTTCTAGGCCATAAAGATGTTATAGACAAATGCTTTTTTAAACATGAAAAAGCTTTTAAATACTGTAAAGTTGACATTCTGTCTTTCACTATAAGTAACGTGAAGAGATGGGAAGCGAAGCAGATGCAAGTTCTACACTTCCCATCAGGATGCTGTAAATACAGTTTGTTGTGGGAGGTCAGGATATGTCCATCTTTGCTAGCAAGCACCTAATGTGCTTAATTTCCTCTTGTGTTTTTCATGTACCTAAGGAACATGTTAGTGTTTTCTTTAATTTTGGAGCAGTGGGAGAATGTGTTACATATGTTAGCATGTAACACAACCTCTTTATGCATGAACTCAAAATCTCCCAGTAGGGTTGATTTTTTTTTTTTTTTTTAAATCTTTGATCTGGAGTGAAACTGGCTTAACTGTCTGTTCACTGTGTGCGTGTTTTCATATTTTTCTGGAGCACAGCAGTGGTGTGTTTATATTGCAGCTTAATGGTAGGTGGGAGGCACAGGATGCTAGGAAATAAAATGAGCAACTTTGTGCTTGTTTAAGTCCCCTGCCTTCTATCCCATTTGCAAAGCTCAATGACAGAGGCTGAACTAGTGTAAGGAAATGCCTTCAGATTTAGTGAATGAATGCTGGTTCAGTTATTTATATATTTGATTTAAAATCTTAGTTGACAATATTGATTTAGATCCTGGTGTAGCACAGTTCCAGTATTCTAGGAAAAATGACATTTTCATGTGATGTTTTTAAGCAGTGGTTATCAGTTTGAAATGGAAATCAATTGAACTGTGAAAGTGGTCAATCACACAAAATAAAATAGGCTGTCTAAATAACGCCTGGTTAAAACAAATCTTGCCCAAAGCAGATGTACTCTTACAATCACTCTTGGTGCCTGTTGAGGCAACATAATGAGAAAAAGAGCTGAAGACAGAGGTGGGTAGAGAAATATAAATAAGCATTGATTGCATGAAAGTAGAACGTTTTTCCACCTGAACACGGAGTGAAGTTCTAGTATCTTCACATGAGAGTTGGAAGTGTCAAGTTCAGAGTTCTGCACCATTTGTTTGTTTCAGAAGATCATGAAAAGAAATTTTGTTCCGAATAATGGTGAAAGGCCCTTTTACAGACTGATGGATGAATCTGTTGCACTGGAAACTGAGGGGAAATAATGTTGGCATGTTCAGTTAGGTACTGTATTAAAAAAAAATGAAATGTGATATAAATTGATTTTGGCGTAAGAGGTTTCTTCTCTTTTTAGCACTTAATGTAGT